TTCAGTATACTTCAACACTCACCAAATCAGACCTAGACAATGGATGGTCACTGTGCTGCTCCATCACCCTCTGGACACAGGCTCTCTTTGGACCAATCCACACATGCAATTAAATGACATGATAAACAGTTCCTAGTAGGGGGCCACTGCACACATGGGATATTCCTTTCTATTAAAACCTTCATGCTCATAGGCAACGCCTAGCCCATCAAGGAATGAGCCTAGCTTTCTCTCTGAGGGGTAACCACTCTGTGTGGGGGACGTTTTTTAGACAAAGGACATTCCTACCTACAATCTCCCTCCCACAGTTTCTCTTTGAACCTATGAACCAAGTGATTTATCTGCATATGAAGATAAATCTGTACTCTCTCATTCAAACACTCTGCCATGGCAATATAGGGCTTTCTGGGTTGGTTTTACCTGTCCAGCCTAAGGAAACATCTGAACAGTGTGTTTATTTGAAGAATGCATGACTTCATCCATGTCTGTTCTATGACCACCCCTTGCTTTTCAAGCAGCTGCATATTCCCACTCACAATGCATGCTACAGAATGCCTTTTGGTCTGGAATGTGTCTCTTGTAAATCTTGATAGTGAGAAATCTAAGGCAGATTAACACAAAGTAGTAGCTCAGCAAAAACATTACCAGTCCCTTTCCTTCCCATACATCCTGTGTTAGCAACTTGTGCCACATTGATGACTTACAAGAAAAAGACTGAGGGGGGGGGGACACTTTCACATGTGATTCTTACCATCAGGCTAATGGCAAGCCTGATCTAATGTAAGTGTTCACTGAGATTACAGAGGTGCAGAAGCTGAGGAAAATGGACCAAGAGTGGTGATCAGCTACTACTTACTGTGTGTCAGGAGACATACGGACCACATTGATGTGAGAACAGCTGCTCCAGCGCAAGAGTGGTCGGAGCAAGATGGCAGGGGAAGGCAAAATCAAGACCTGCGCACGGAATATACACATAATATCTTCCTGTCCTGTGGTTAGGCTACCTTCCTCCTATGCACCTTTTCCAATGTGAAACTGAGGACATGGTACAAAGCCTCCTACAACTTTACATACACCAATGCAGATGTGCAAACATCACAAGCCTGGTATCTCTTGTGTGGAGTGCTACAGGCCTACTGGGTTCCCAACAAAGGAGCATCCTCTCCAGCAAAGACAGGCATATATAACCCTGCTGCCCACCACAACAAGACTATGGCACTATTCCTTGCTCAGCTGCTTTCATCTGTTCAGCTGCTCTGCCCACTTGCCTCCTGCTTCCCCTCTGACATTTGCAATCCAGTTTCCCTGGATTTCCACAAACACACCAAGTCTGCTCCATCTCAAGCAATCTGGTGGCACTGCTACCACTGGCACTGCTTGTAATTCAAATGACATCCCAGTACAGTCCCATTACCCACTCTCTACACTGACAAATCAATAGACGTGCAATAGTTGCTTGAGGCCACGGCAGCCGGAATGCGACTGTTTATTGGCTTGATGCTTACAGGGGTAGACAACATTGCAATGCATGTAGCAGAGAGAGAAAAATCCATTCGAAAAGGATCCTCTGCATCCACTCTGCTGCTTCATTAAACAAAGTGATCACTGCTCAAGCCTACAAAGATGATCATTTCAGAGGCCTGTTAGACTGCTGTTGCAAAATTAAACTAGGAGTCCTTAAACCAGGAGTCCTTAACAACTGACACAATTTATTCCAGCATAACCATGTGTGATCTGATGAAGTGAGCTGGAATCAATTTTGCTGATCTTTAAGGTGCCACTGGACTGCTGTTCAATTCCAGTCCCCAAAGAATATCTCACCCAGCCTGGGAAGGAGAGGGCATGGTGCTGCATATTTCACACCTATTCTACTTACTTATTTATTTTTCTGCACAAGGCAGGAATGTGGAGAGGAAGTGCTGAGATCTAACAGGTCTGATGCAGAAAATACTATCAAACCAATTGCTGAAGGGAAGTGAGTGAAGGCAGAAGGCAAGGAAGAAGGCAGAGATCTCTCTCCATTTCAGTGGGCTTGACAAAGAACTTCAGCTTAGATTTTAACTCTTCCTATTAGTATATATAATTCCCTATCACCTTTGCAGCCTCATTCTGGCAAAATTATTATATTTTTGCATAAATTACTTCCAATGTCAACTTGACACTGAGCCCTTTGCATGCTTCTATACACACTGCGTAATGCACTACTTTTCATCCAAACATTTCAAGGCAATATTACAGCCAACAGCAAAAAGATTTAAAAAACCAAAAATAAAACCATCTACATGTAGTACTGTATATATTACTTCTCTCATTCTGAATATGAAAACATAGAGGTACAGATCTGCTTGTCCAAGAAGAAGAGTTGCTGTTGAGTCACAACTGAGTCATGGTGATCCCAATCTTGGGGCATTTCAGGCAAGGGAGGGGCAGAGGTGGTTTGCCACTACCTTCCTCCAAGAGCACTACTGAAAATCCATGGCAGATATAGTAGAAGGTCTAGGAAAATCAAAATGTACCACATTTTTGTCTTATAGAATTAAACATGATAATCACTTCCTGTTTCGTAAAAATATCTACTGGAGAGCACCTCTGGCACTGGTTTTAAACAACACTCTGCAAGTTTTCCTGGATATATTATAGTATCTGCAGAGGGGAACTCCATAGTTAATAGCTCCATGGAACTCAAGCATCTGGCGTGCTTAATGCTTCATGCGCACAACAGTTACTTATTAGATCTCTATTTTTTGAGGAAAACTGAGGAAAACCAAACTATCATACATGCTGCTGTTGACTGCAACCATTTTAAACAGCATTGTGGAACTGTTCCTGGAAATATTATGGTACCTACAGAGGGGAATTTACATAGTTAATAGCTCTATGGAACTCAAGCATCTGGAGCACTTAATAGCTATGCTTCATGCATGCAACAGTTACTTATCAGATCCATTTTAAAGATGAGGAAAACTGAGGAAGAAAACAAAACCACCCATGCACACAGCTGTTGACTGCAATCCAAAATTGCTGATATCAGTGCTCTCGCATGAAGGTCCACAGTCTTTTTCATAGCTATATATTTTCCACCACTCAGCTGAGGCAATAAATTGATGTCCAGACAAAATTATATATACTGTAATTTTCAAACTATTTTTTGCCAGGTCACTCACTCCACGGTATCTTTTATGTTATGATCCCTTGCAGCCTGAACAAGTGGCAGCTTCCCTTGACAGAGGGATGCCTTCATCTAGTACGGATGAAAGGCTCCTATGATTTCCCCTCTTACAGGAGAGAGGAGCAGCAGCGCCCCCTCATTGCCACCGTGTTTGTGGATGGGTCACAGAGAGCAAAACGCAGCTCTTTGCAGGGATACCTTATACAACAAACAAAATCTAAAGGTGGAAAACGGCCAGCTGATTTGGCATGTGAATAGGCAGGAGACTGTTCTCCTAGTACGCCTGCACCGGCAACCCACAGAGCTCCTTCGTGGCTGTGTGAACTCTCAAAGCAAAATTCTGGCACGCTGAATGTGACATAGCTGAGTGTCATTTGGTACAGTCACACATTTTTGCCATCGTGGAAATCTGTCCTGTATCTGTATGCACAGCTAAACAGCACACACGAATTAACAGTTTCTGAGAACCTGCTCATAAGTGGACATTTAAATGAACCTGTCCCCTGTTGAGTATGATTACTGGCCACCCTGGCCCAACATTGCCTACCGTAGTCAGATGCAGCTCCCCAAGGGCTCAAACAAGGAAGGTTCCCAGCCCAGCTGCTTTTATTTCAACAACTGATGATGGCAGGAATGGGACCTTGTGCATGCAAAGCATGTGCAACTGAGCTGTGGGGTCCTCCCTGCGGTGGAGAAGCAGAGAAAGGCTAAGTGACTCATGAAGTTCACCCACAATGAGGTTTGTAAGCCCTGCAGGACTCTCCAGCTGTAAATCTCATTTGGCACATGAGAACAGACAAGCAAGACACTTGCACTTCTCTTGTTCTTGGTAAAGCACAAATCAGCCCCAAGCCCATTTTAGGGCCGATTCAGACATTATATCATGAATAATTATAGCAGATACAAGCCACTTGCACTTGCAAAACCCTACTAGTAACATCATGACCTGACTCAAAACACAATGAACTTTGATGCCCTCAAATCTGACAATGCCAAGACCCCCTGTGCTAGTCTGGGCGTCGCACTGTGAGTGGAGATCTACAGCCGCAAGTGACACTCCCAGCTTGCATTGCAACATCCCAATTGGCCCCTAAAATTCTAGATATCACAGGTTAGCGGCAAATCAAATCCGGGTACTATTAATTTCTACATTACAGTCACTTGACTATGCGTACACAAGCACGGCTCCCACAGCTGCACACACAAAAAAAGTACGAATGTGTGAATAAACCTTCAGTTAGACCACCAAACTTGGCGTATGGAACACTAGAACATTATTTCCACCCTGGACAAGGAGACTGGAGTCCTTTCTGGTCCGGCGGCCACACATGCTCCCCTTTCCTCCAAACTGTGTTTTTGGGCCTCCTTTGCAACATGCATCTTGAACGCAAACCCAAACCTCTTCCAAAGCTGGGGGTCATCCCCCGCCCTTCCCCTTCGCTGGAAAAGAAGCCCCGTCTCGAGGGGCTGACCCCGAGCAACTCCGCCGACCCCGCTCACAGGACTTTGCGTAGCAGGCTTGAGCCTTTTCCGCCCACCACCCCCACCCCAATTTTAAATGGTGCCATGGTTACAAGCAAGAATGCTGGAATAAACACAACGAAAGCCATGCAAATACAACTCTTCCTCCCGGTCCTTTTCCCGCTCCTCCTCCCCATCCATTCACCAGCCGCTGCCAATCTCTCGGCCAACTAGATGAACGCGGACTCCTACGAGCATCTCACCCTGCAGTAAAGCAGCAGGAGCAACAACAACAACTGTTACCACCGGCAATAGCGGACTGTCCCTGCAAGCATCAGTGTCCTATCCTCCGGGAGCGGGTCGCACTTACGATGAGGGGGATGGTCCTCTCGTCTTTGTGGAGGTCCAGTTTGCCCGTGGATCTCTGCCCGTTCCTGCCGCCGCCGCCGCCGCTGCTTGGAGATCGGCTGGATGCTGCTGAATGGGGCTTGTTGTCCTGCCACAAGTAATAGAAAGTGCCCAGAATCCAGGCGACGGTCAGGATTGCAATGGCATTAGCCCTGATCCGCCTCATCCTGAGAGCCCCAGTGGAGGCTGGGAACCCGGAGTAAACTGAAGAAGAAGAAGAAGAGGTTTCTAGGGGAATCAAATGGGGGGGGGGGCGGATTAGACCGACGGGGGAGTGGTGGTAGAATTCTCTCTCCCCTTTTTGTATTTGGCTGGCTCGTGCAGTCACAGCTGTTTGTTTTAGCTCTTGTCTCACTGCTCAGTCCTGCAGAGCGAAAAGAGAGAGAAAGGGAGAAATCTTCAGGGTCCTAATGCCCTTTTTACGCACGCATTCGATCATCCCTGTGACTAGCACATCCTATGGAGACAGGCTAGCTTTTCATTCCTCTCTTGCTTCGGGAAGCCGGCTCTGACTCTCCCGTTTATGGCTTCCTCTTTCTTCCCCCCAGCTGTGGAGTTTTGCAATAGGAGAGGACAACATATCTTTATTTTATTGTCTTCTGGAAGCTTTGTAATCGCTACAGGGGAAGCAGGAGGAAAGAAGGGTAGGAAGAGCAATTCGTTTTGCTTACAATTACCATAAAGCAACAGCAAGCAATGTATTTGTTGCCAAAGGCCTCAATGGAAAGGCACCCTACAAGCCACCAGTTTGCTCATTCATAAACATAGAATTGCAGTCATTTGCATGCAGTTGGTTTAAAATTTGTTGGCTGACAAAATGCTACTGCTGGATATCTTGCAGTTCTTGGCATGCTGGGAAATATGACAAGTCTGGTCTTGCCCATTTAGTCCTCTGGCCAAACTACATGAACTAGAACCTTGTGATTGCTAATGCAAAATGTGCAAAAGCATGAGCGGGATTGTAAAAGATAGGAGATTAGAAAACATTATAAATGGAGGTGGTATTTTGCCTGCCTGCTGGATTCTGGGAGGTGTGGAAATTATGCAGTCATGCCTTCCATATATCCTGTCTAGAAGAGCAGCCTTATTTGTTTTAGCACAAACTAAAAGGGGTGTCACTTTAAAGACAGATTTATTTTAGTAGCCTTTAGTGGACCACAAACGTTTATGCTATAAGCAATTTGTTAAGACTTTGCAGTGCCACAAGACTGTTTTCTTTTTACAATACACCCTTATAATTCAAGGATCTAGAATATTGTACATAACCCGTGCGACCAAAAAAGGGGGAGAAAAACAGAATTCTACACGAGAAAGATAACCAAAAAGGCTCAGACAAAGAAAAAGGAACTAAAATATAGCTACACACATAGCACTAATGTAAAAAATATCATATATAATTTAATTATACATTCAAAAGGGCTAAAATATTTTAAAAACACAATCATATGTTTCTGCAGATGAGTACCTAATTAATATAAAAACATTTTAAATTAAATTATATATGATATTTTGTCCATTAATACCACATGCATAGCTATATTTTTTGGGGGGGTGTCTCAACCTTTTTGGTTGCCTTTATTGTACATATCCCACCAACATAATAAAGAAACCAACAACATCAGGGGCACTTGTGACTTCTTTGCCACCCTGGATTTAAATTGATGAATGGATCTTGAATGCATTTAGAATTCCTTCCTGAATTCCACTGAAAAGGATCAGCTTGAAATCTCTCCGTACTCTCGAAATGATGCACATGATGAGCAACCTTCAGTCTGACTTGCCTATTAACAGCCACATGTGAAATGTACTTCTACCAAAACTGAACCAGACTGTGTTACAGTGTGGCCTCTTCTAAGTTGGTGAGCCATTGTGGTATTGATGATTCAGTAGGACTGATTCAGAGTCAGACTTCTGTTTCAGCCAGGGGTGGGGAGGTCCTGGTAGATCCATGATGCGACTGAAAGTAGTAAGTCAGACAGAGTCAGAAAAAATCCTGGTCAAATGTGTGATGCTGCAGCTCTTACCTAAATTGGTCATTCAATTACATCTGAAGAAAGAATTCTCTGGTAATACTTCTCCAGAATGCTTGTGAAATGGTGGTGTGGCACTATTAAAATGAATGAGGAAAGTACAAGAGTGCAGGAGTTTAACTTCAATGAGGTCTCCACAGAAAATCCAGTGGATTGGGTGCATAGTATTTGTTTTAAAACTTTTAAGACATGAAGAATGAACATTCTCACCTTAACTAAAAACGATTCAACAGGACCTTTCTGCACTGATGTGGTAGAACCAAAATTATTCTATTTTTCATGATGGACAACAGCTTTAAACCATTAACATTTTAGTTCAAGCTCAGAATCTAAATACTAAAAAATTCATGCTATCGTCATTATATTTCATCCACAGCCTTCTATTGACATTAGTTTTAATCTGCAGTCTTTGAGGCCTGTTTCATTAGTTTCCAACATTAACTCTGAACTCTGTTCACACATGTTGTAAATCACTGTAACTGTATGCCCATGTGGTTTGGTCTCAGGAATGCTTCACAAATTACATTTTTCCGGGGTGCTGTCCAGTTGCTTCCAGTAAACATCTGCAAACAAAGTGTGAACATAACAGGCACATCAAGTGTATATACTTACATCATACATAGGGTTGCCAGCCTCCAGGTGGGGTCTGGAAATCTCCCAGAATTGCAGCTTGATCTCCAGACTACAGAGGTCAGTTGCCCTAGAGAAAATGGCTGCTTTGGAGGGTGGACTGTATGGTATTATACCCCACTGAAGTCTCTCCCCTCTCCAAACCATGCCACCCTCAGGCTCCACCCCCAAATCTTCAAGAATTTCCAAACCTGGAGTTGGCAACACTATACCAGAACATGAATTCTGGAGCCAGTGTGAACTGTTGCTCTCTGTTGAGTGTGCCCTCAGTGGCGAATCTGCTTGCCTTTATGTAATGTGAGAAGCAGCTTACATTCTCTATTAAAATAAATCACCACTCTCGTATTCACACTTATTCATTTAAAATATTTATCTCACCCTGACCTGGATAGCTCAGGCAAGCCTGATCTCTTCAGATATCTCAGAAGCTAAGCAGGGCTGACCCTCGCAAGTAATTGGAAGGGGGACCTCCAAGGAATACCAGGGCTCAGAATGCAGAGGCAGGCTATCAAGCCACCTCTCTGAAAAATGTCCAAGCCCCCGGTAGGGGTCACCAGAAGTTGCCATGACTTCCAGGCATACAAGCACGTATATATAGAAGAAGAAGAAGAAGAAGAGACTGGATTTATACCCCGCCCTTCACTTGGAGTCTCAGAGCAGCTTACAAACTCCTTTCCCTTCCCCTCCCCGCAACAGACAACCTGTGAAGTGGGTGGGGCTGAGAGAACTCTGACACAAACTGCTCTTTTTCAAGGACAGCTGTGCCAGAGCTTGTGACTGACCCAAGGTCACATCAGCAGGTGCAAGTGGAGGAGTGGGGAATCAAACCCGGTTCTGCCAGATTAGAGTCCGCACACTTAACCACTACACCAAACTGGCTCTCTCTCACACACACACACACACCCAAATAAAATAAAATATTTATCTCCTGCCTTTCTTTGTGACTCAAGTTCAACACAGCTTACAAATTAAAAGTAACACAATTCAAAACCTAGTAAACAAAACCCCAGATAAACCCTGCCCTGTCTTTCTTTCCAATTCTTCCCCAAGTGAAGGTAACCATTGACGCCATTTTTTCAAGACTCATCCGTGTCAAACACGTGGTTGCTCTAGGAGTCCATTCTTAGCTACATTGCCACCAGAACCTACTTCTGCCAACACATCAAAGAATTTGTTGAGTTTACAATAGACATGTGAGGGACAATGTCAAGGAGAGGGCAGGAGAGAGAGAGATATCACCAAAGGTTTATGCTGAATCACACTTTCTGTCTTACGTGATGCACACATGTATCTAACCTAAAGATACAGGAATGTATGCATGCACAAAGCTAACAGACGTGCGCTGAAACAGCAACAAGGGAGAAGAGGGGACATTTCACCTCAGAAATCTCTAATTTACCTAAGAGCCTGCTAAATGTGCTATATAGTCCATTTTAGTTGTCCCAGAAACCAGGAATGTTGCCACTGCTTCTGTATGAAGGAGTGAGTGAACTGCTACTGAGTCATTAGCTGTAGGGGACTTTGAGAAGCTGCTACAGAGAACAGAATAGGCACAAACTCCCAGTAGGGCAGTGTCCTGATAATTAAACCTCAGCAGGGTGATTGGTTCAGTTGATCTAGTGATTCATGACATGAAAAACACCTTTTAGGAGGAATACCTCATTTGTGAATGTTGTTAATAAAAATTATAAAAAAAAGATATAAAATATAAAATACCTTATGCTAGCCAACTTTTGAAATACAGGCAAGAGAAATGCAAAAACTGACTGCCAATGCACCTTGGGAAATGTCCTAACTGCAACGGAACTAGCATTGCCTACACTATTTTATTTCAACCATGGAAAAGGCAGAACTATACCAACAGCAACATTTGTACTGGCTTTAGCAAGGGTAGGACTGGGCTACAAACTGTGGAAGGGGCTATAGTGGTATATGCAACCAAAAGCAATATGAAGAACGTATCATGAAAGAATAAGGGCATATGGTGTCTGTTTTGGGAATCTGCTGTTTTAAATTGAGGTCAGAGTCCTTGAAAATATTTAATATAGTGAATCTGAGGGAAATACAGTTTCCTGTTTCTGGGAACCAGTGTCCTAAAGCTGTGCATTCTTCCATGCACTGATGTTTGTATATGTGTGTAGAATCTTGGCAGTCCTCTTGGGGTGTGTGGCCAGCTTCACGCCAGAAAACAGTGGGAGTGATATAATTAAGACTCATTCCTAATATGGGTCAGTGAGATACCGTTGTGGAGACAGAAGACATTAGCAAAGCAATTTAAGCATCTCTTGCGAAAGCATCCTTGGAAAGAAGTTGGAGTGATTCATTCATTCCAGGTGGCAGAAATATTTGGAACATGAGAAATGTGTCCTGGTTTAATTCGTTGTTATCAAACTTTACCACTTCTTCCCAGCATTATGCTTATCTTTTCCTCGGGAAAGCTGTTTTTGAATTCATTTAGCCTCTTGTGTCACCTTCACAAGCAATATATTCCAAATGGTGGTTTCTACTGATATTAACTGGCTCAGCTGAAACTCCTCAG